AACGCTGGCATCAAATTGAATTACTCATTAATGACTAATCCTATTACACAATGTTCTTTGTTCATCATTGCTCACTTTCCTTACTTGTTTCTCAAGAAAGGAGCCAGCAGGGAATCCAGTAACAAGAGGACACAAAACTTAAAGAAAGCAAAGAGTGGCTGAACACTCTGCCAACACCTTTTAGCCTCCCAAAGAAAAAACACAGCAGAGAGGAAACTGACTGCTGATGTAGTCATCTTATACTCACTACCCGCCTGGACACGAGCTAAAAATTGTCCTGAATGCCACAAGGGGATTCAGACAAAAGAACAGTGAGTGCTGAGCTGATCAGGAGAGGCCTGGAGTTGATTCAGCTCCCTGAGTCAATTCCTGACTGTGAAACAAATGTGCTAGCCAGTTTGAAAAATGTTCTCTGGCACCAAACCACAACTTTATAATCAGCACTATCAGACCTAGCTTCTGTTGGCCTTATCTTACTTATTTCTGCTGCAACACTTTATCATTTCTGCATATTTTTTACTCTCTTTTGAAACACCTTTTAAAGAAACGAACCAAAACGAAACACTTTACGTATGTAGGCCACCTCTGCTTTGAAGCTAGGCTGAGCACCAATACTTTTATACCTGCATGCAGCATCTTCATGTCTCGTAAATATTACTATACTCCTTCTATTGGCTTGTTGGTGTTTGAAATTACATAATGTATGTAATATAAAATGAATGAATGTATTATGCATCATATTTTGTGATTGTTTTAATTTCTCTAAATGTCCAGCTTTTTTTGCACGAAGCAAAAATCATGCAGTTGAACTTTTAACTAATTTATATAAAACAAAACGCCTTCCTGTGAAACATGTTAACATTGCCTTGCAACCATGCAATTAAAAAGACTTCAAGTCAGTAATCATTTATTACAGAATACCTGTTCAATTAATTAAAGCACAAACAAATTGCTTACATCTGACTTTGTCGTCATAGAGAAAAAAAAGAAAGCTTTTTAGGTCACAGCATTGAGTGGAGATTGACTGTATCTGTGAAACTATATATAGTGAGAACACAACTGGACGATGGTGTGACAGGCAGAGACCATAAAAGCGATCAGGCCTGAGAGGGATAGCATATGCCTGGGATTATGAACAACCAGCCCTGCTTTAGACAAAGGACACACCCTCTCCTGCAGCTGTCTCGCATGCTGTATTTGCAATCTACTATCAATGACTTAATCAGTTTGCAGCCCCTATCTGTCGCTCTCTCTGAAACCCAGACTTTCAATAGTTTGCACACAGAGTTTGGATTTATGTGCGTTACTGCGTCACACTTGTGTTGAAACTGAACCCATTTCAAAGTTTTTATTTATTTGTGCGTCATTTTCATTGCTGATCAGTCTTCTTACAATCGACCGATTAACTGTTCAGAATAGAAAATGCCAGGAAATAGTGAAACTGTACCATTGTGAGTTGTAGCACAAATTGATGTAATCAAATTCCTTGTTTTGTTGGACCAACATTGAAAAATGTCAGCGAAACACAGCAGATCCTCACGTTTTTTTGAGCCACAGTTTCATTTTTTCTGTATGAATGGTATGAAAACCTAATAGGACAGTATTTTAGTACATTTGAATATAATAACTTTAATTACTTGATTACTTTATTGTTTACAAGCATTTAAAAAAAAAGAAAAAAAAAAAGAAGCAGCATCTATTGTTGTCGGTGTTGTACAGCTAAAACAATAAATTCATACAAAACAATTAGAGAGATTTTAAAAATCAAAGCACAAAACGAGAAAACTTCAGTAAAGCCACACACGTAAAGTCGTGCCTGGCTTAAAAGCTGATGTGTACCTAAAGGCCTGATCTCCTTTATGTTTTTTGGCTCAGCAGACTTCAGGGATCTAGTGGGAGTGTACAAAGTTAAGAGATCAGAGAGGTAAGGACATGCCAACCTATGCAATGCCCTAAAAGCAAACAGTGAAATCTTAAAATCAATTCTAAAACTGCCTGGTAGCCAGTGTAAAGAAACCAACATGGGGATATGTAGTTGTTAAGCACCGAGTCGCAGCGTTTGGGATTATTGACACCTGAATTAAACCTATTACAACAGTCAAATCAAGATCAAATACTTATTTATTTTAGGTGGTTTGTAAGGTCTTAATGGGAACCAATTTGGCAGGTTGTGAAAAGTCTCCTTGGGCAATGCTTATGCTGCAAATGCTGGTAAAATATCAGAAAGTCCAGCACTTTTGCAGCCTTTTTGCATAAATCTCATTGCATATTTGCATAGTTACTATAAAAGGTATTCTAGTCTATCCTATAAGCTGCTGAAAAAAGTCAAACCAAGCTGCAGTGAAATTGTGTTTTAAAATAAATACAATGAATGGATTATTTCTCACTATTAATAAGGTGTTACCAACCTTAATAGAATAACTTTATGGAAAAAATACTTTTATATAATAGTTTATAAACTATTAGCTTTTTATTTTTTCTTTATAGTAAAATCTTATTCGGGCCATTCTCGTGACATGGCTTTTTATTTGCTCTCCTTGTTACTGAATGGTATAATGTTAAGAGCGAGAACTCAATTAGGGATAAGTGCTTGCACCTGGAGCCAGCTCCTCAGGTGAGCTGTATTATCTATACTGTGCGTTTGCTGTTTATTGAGCATATTCACGCACCGCTGTGGTGACATAATAATATCTGCTAAAACCTCTCGGAGGTCAAATACAGCCGACGGTGCCGGTTTGTTGAATCAAACTGCAGCTGTCTCCTTTGCGGCTACACGAGGCTGTATTTGTCTGTGTGTTTGCGAAAGGCAGCTACCTGAGATGAGATTAGGGCAGTGCCATGATTAAGTGCTGCTGTGTTAATGCAGCCCGTCGTGCTGCTGTAATCTCTGAGTGGCTCCCTGCGCACTGCCTGGCAGCGAAGCCCCAGGACACACGGGTACACAAAAAACCTCACACACACGCACACACATGCACACTACTGCTGCAGTGGGAACATCATGAAAGCCCTGATTTCCCGAGCTTTGAGCTGTGCTCTCTTTGCCCTGACAGAATTTCTTGCTTTTACCTGAAAACATTTCAGTGCTGCTGCTTGATACAAACATCACTGCTATAAATAGGCTGAAAAACATTAAATAGATGCTCTTCTTTCTTATATGTGGGACAATATGAAAACAACCAGTTGTATAGTATAAAATATTATATTAAGAAATGCTTGTTTGTGTTATTATGGGGTCTACCTCACAATATAAAATGCCTTTGGTGACTGTTGTTGTGATTTGGGGCTATATAAATAAATTTGAACTGAATGGCCTCTTAACACCATAAACTGTAACTAGTTTGTTAAATACAAAAGCAAATAATAATTAATTATTTTACTTTAGTAAGTAATTACATGTATTTATACAGTGTTTTTTTCAGGAGACCAATCACCACCTGTGTCACATCCAATAAAACCAACAAAACAAAAAACATAAGACCAGAAATAAAATTACAACATCTACATTCTACTGCTGAGAAATTTTACGTTTTTAGAAATATAGTTTTTTTTAAATAAAAAGTAGAATGTTTTTCAAGCTGTTTTTAAGTGAATTTGATTCGATTATAAATAAAAATAAATATAAACAAAAGAAATCAATCAAATAATTGATTAAAAGTTTCCATCATATCTCCAACATGTACATAATTTTATCCAACACCTCCCACATTTGTCTGAATTGTCAGATTTCCTTGTTGAGCTCTTCCTCGTCAATTAGCCCGGGTCAATTATCGTAATGAGATAATATCACGGTTGACGTGGGGGGTCTGCCTCTCCCTAAGTCCGCCCAGGTGACCCCCACCCACTGTGCTGATGCCTCGGGGATCGTGGCCTGAGCCTGTTGTTATGCACCTATTAGCGGTAACGACAGGGAGGATAAACCTGCCACTCAGCTGCAGACTGAATTTAAACACATTCAGAGCCATTACGCTGGATTCTCCTGCACGGCCTGGAGGTAGATACGTCGGTTTTGGATGACAGAAGGGAAAGCAAAACACGTAGCGAACTGTGGGAAGAGCGTCAGTGTTTACCCTGAGCCCAACATCTGTTTCTGCATAAGAGAATACTTAAAACATTCAGAGGGAACAAAGTGTACGAATATATATACACACCTCAGGACCATGTTTCCTCTGAAGTGCTATAAATGGCTCGTGAGGTCAGGGTGATTGACCCCTGAGAGAAGAACCTCTTCCTTTTAAAATAGGGAAAACCTCTATTTATAAAAAGGGACTCTTGCTGTGTTATAAATACATCAAATTACCCTCAAGGTCTGGGTTGATCTCTTAAAGATTTTAGCCCGATAAGTTTGATTCATGTCAAAGCGACACACGGGCATTAGTGGATAAATATATCATCGCCGTTCGGTATACCCACAGAAATAACGCCTGATGTCACTGCCATGTTATTAAGCATAGCTGGAGGATGGATACCGAAGCGTATACCTAATGCTCTGTTGTTAAACACGCAAAAAGAAACGGTCACCATTGTTCAAAAGACGTGTAGTTGTCCACGCGTAATTTTAATGGCCCCTACCATTAATCAGAAAAGACTAAATCATTTACAGACAGGATATCCGGAGCAGAAACTGCTCTCCCATGCTGCGAAAACAAGGCGCCATGTGTAACGCAGGCACTGAGATTGCCTCCACTGTGTCCGGGCCAGGAAGCCGGGTCGCAGCCCTCCGCTGCCCTGCTTCCAGGTGAGCAACTGTTTCTGCTGGGAACGCGTTCAGCTCCGTGTGGAAGTCGGAAAAACAAACAACCACATAACGAGGAATAAGGCTGGGCCGCATAAAAAGGTGAATTTGTGCTATAATATATATTTTTTTAAATAGCTAAATATTGACATATTTATGAAATAAAACATACCCCGATATAAAGTTCAAATGTGAAATCCGATGCACTTCATCAAATGTCATTATGAATTTAAGAATATAGACAAAATAATACGCGAGAGAACAAGACTATTTGCCAACATTTATTTCTCAAAAGTGCAAAAGTATAAAAAAAAACATTCAGTATATACATAAACTTTAAAATAGTGACTGTACAATATTTATCATCACAAAATGACTCCATATCCCTGCGAGAGAGGAAGAGAAAAGTTCAAGCCAGTGTTCCTACTAAAATCCTCAATGGCTTTATTAACTGTTCTTGTACAGTACAAAGCTGGGTTTAAAATCTCCTAAACCTCCTGCTTCAGTAAAAAAAAACCAAACATTTTTTGTTCAGATTTAGCTACGGAGATTTGAGGTCAGAGCATGTGTCCTTGTTGCAGGGTAACAGGCCGGGCAGGAGGTTAGGAGTTGTTGTAGCTACAGTAATACACAGCTGTGCTGGCGTCTGACAGCACCGATGATATGAGGCTTTCAGGTCCTTGCATGCCTGCCTCGTGTGACCCGTACGGCAAGCCTGTCATGTCCGCACGCGCTGAAGAGGAACTCAAATACTGCTCGAACTCGCTGCGGTCTACCTCACCGATCAGGTCAGAGTGGTGCATCTGCTCCACGCTGTCTGCTGAGTGAGGGTGAGCGTCAGGAGGTGGGGAGAGCTGTCCTGCTCCACCGGGGTGCCGTTTGGTGTGACTGGGATTGCAGTGGTGAGGGTAATACATGGCTAAAGGGTTGGGGCACCCCATGTACGAAGGGGGGAGCTGAGGGGGCTGCTCTTGAGCCGAGGCTGGGTGTCGGTGCACGATGGCGTTGCTGTGGTGGTTGGAGAGGGGGTCCTGGGGCTGAAATTCTGCAGCTTGTGACTGGTAAGAGTATGCAGGCATCATGTGACAATCCTCTTGTGAATGGGGGGGAAAGAACATGGACTCTGACTCCACAGCGTCCAGGGGAGAGGTGTCAGGCGTGGGCAGGCTGTAGGTTTCATAAGAGGGGCCTCCAAGAGCCTGAGCATCACGGTAGTGACTGAGCGGCTGTGGAGGAACCTGGAAGCCGTGCTCATGGTAGCCAATGCCAAGGCCATCCACACACACCCTGTTCTCCCCGGGCATCGATGAGGCCGTGTGATCTGACACGCCGTGGACCAGAAAGCCAGAGTCCAGCCTCTTAATCCTCTTCACCTGCTTCCGCCGCCGGGGCCGGTACTTGTAGTTGGGGTGGTCCTGCATGTGCTGGACCCGCAGCCGCTCTGCCTCTTCCACAAAAGGCTGCTTTTCTGTTATAGGAAGCGATTTCCATGATTTCCCTGCAGGTCAAGAAGAGAGTACACATCAGTGATATGTCAGCAGATACCGTGTGCAGTCTGGTGATGCACACAAAAATAGCCTGTTGCCATTTTAGGGGACTGGGACAGTTTTTTGAGGTTACACCTACAGCCAACTCAGACAAGAGTAACTTTTAAAAACGTCACGTCATCTACTGGGAAAGGACTATTTACATTTATCTGAGAATAAAATTGACATAACAGTAAAAATGCAATCAGGTAAAGACTGAAAATCAGTGGAAAATAAAAGCGTGACTGCACAGATGTGACAAATACAGTTGTTTAAAAAAGTATGAACGTCCTTACCCAGCATTTTGCTCAGCTCTGCGTTGTGCAGGTCCGGGTTTTGCTGCGCCAGTCTCTTGCGCTCATCCTTTGCCCAGACCATAAACGCATTCATGGGCCGTCGGATCCGAGGTTCGCTTTTCCCGCGATTCTGGCTGCCGGAGCTGGACGCGCACGGCTCGTTTTTCACTTTTGTGTCCCCAAGAGGACTGAGAGGGTCGGCCCACTGGCAGTGTCCCATTCCAGGCATCATGACTGACAGCGTACACCTTCCCTGGGTCTGATCGTCGCTGGCGTAACCCGCATCGGGACTACTCATCTCTGTCCAGCTGGGAGGATTGGAGAGAGCCACCGGACAGCTCGCAGAGACGACAACACACGACAAGTAATAAATTCTTAATAATAAGGTTTTTTTTTTTGTTTTTTTTAACAAATCAAAGAAAAATCAAATGCGCCTTGCTTTCAGAGTGGAATGAAAAATAATTAGTCACATCCATTAGCGTCTCTTAGAAGCCGCATGGACCGAAACATACCGACTACTCAGCAGTGAGCGTGAATGTCGGTGCGCTATAAACGCAGAAGCAGCCAATCGCCGTGTGGAGGGAGTGCCCACTACTACAAAGGTGTAAAAAAGTTCAGAGCACGCCCACGACCCTCGTTTGGAGTGGTGACATCCTTCAAAGGGGGAGGAGGGGGAAAGCAGCGGTATTTCAAATAGGTGCAGAAAGTCATGTGCAGCTAGATGTTGAATTCTGCAATGAGTTTAAACACGTATCCGGGCGTTAGTGCAACATTGTCAGACTTTGCATTTGGATTTATACGTTTGGATTAAAAAGACTTGAAACTAAACAAAAAAAACTTTAAAACCAAAAAAAAACGAAAAGCAGAGCCACGCGCGCCGGTCGCGCTGTTATTCTCACCTCGCTCTCGCGTCAGACACCAATGCCTCATCACCAATCTGTGTATTGGCTCCTAAACTGCGTTAGAGGCTCTTGCAATCTAATGGACTTAATGGCTCCGTCATTAGCAACTTTTACGCACGGCAAACTTTCTTTGAGAGCAGCATAATAAGACGCGCTGGACAAAAGACGCCCATTGAAGATTCGACTCATCTGAGAGTGAAATGAACAGGGGGGGTGGTGGTGAAATAAACATTAAAACCACAGAGTGTTGTGATACTGGAGCGCTGCCAGCTTCTCTCTCAGCACCCCGATGTTCAAAAAGTCAAGAGTTTCTCCTGCTGTAGACACACCGACGGTCTGGGCTTCGATGTCAGCAAACAGCTGATTGATTAAACTGAGGTCTCAAAACTCTCTGAATCACATCCCTTAGCCAATTGACAACGTGCTTGCTTGGCAGCCTTATTAAAGGGCTTTTTAATTTCATTCCCAGCTATTATACTGCACCCTTTTCAACATCGCAAGGAACTTTTAATCTGCAATATCTCAAATATCACGTCTAATAATTACTTTCATCTCATTAGGTGCTCATTCCTGTCATTTTGCTCTCTATTATACTTTGTATGAGTTTTAAAATTAAAGATAAACCTGATTTTACTATGCAAAGAATATTTTTGCTTTCTATATTTGCCCTTTCCTTGTGACTTGAAGTCTCATACTGAGCTGGAGGTTAAACCTTTGGCAAGCTTCTCTTCGAATATGGAGATGACATCAGCCAGTAGTCAAATATAAACTTTATAAACTCGCATGACATGCACGGACACACACACACACACACACACACACACACACACACACACACACACACACAC